GGGGGGGGGGGCAATTCCCTGTCAATACTGAGGAAAAACTAAGTTTTAAGGGAGGCAAAAGTTATATGTGGATTCTCGACTACACTGGGGTGGGTGTCCCTAACCCCCTTCTAAGTTGTTCAAGGCTCAGCTGTATATTCCCATTTCACAGAGTGAAATGACATTCAAAGAAATGAAATATAATGTTACTCAGTTACGTAAGGTCTGTAGCCAGGCTGGAAATCTGGGTCTTTTGACAATAATGCTCATTTTTCTTCCACACAAATATAATCGTTGAAGTCTAGTAGGAATAAGTAAGTTAATTGCTCAATATCGAGTTACCTTTATACCATTTGACTGTGATCGCTTTTGCCAAAGATTGTTATAAATTAAGGAACATACCGAAGGCGTGCAGAAATAAGAGCTAAGTGTATCAAAAGCTGAAATGAGCGAATACTATGAACTGCCTGCCAATATTCTTAAACACGATTACTTTAAAAATTAAGTTACGTATGTTCATGATTTAAACATTTTAAATATAGAAATATATAAAGAACACAATAATTACCTTAATCCTGCAAACTGGAGAATATAACTGTTGCTTTTGCTGCGTATCATTTAAAACTGTATATACAAAAGTATGCAACGTACCCACATATAAATTTTGTTCTGTGAAAAGGTTTGTCAACCGATGGTCCTTGGCACCAATTCAGCGCCAGCAGGAACCCTCAGCTTGAGGTGCAGGAGAGAAGGAAACTTTATTCAGTGCAAAACAGCACAGCTGCGAGGCAGCCCTGGGCAGGTGGCCCTGAGGCCAGGACCTCCCGGCCAGACAGCTCCGCTCCGCTCCTCGGTGGAATGCCCCAGGGTCTGCTCTGCGCTGCGCTGGCCTGCTCGCTGCGCCTTGCTCAGCTCCCCGCTGCTCTGCTCCGGCGAGACGCCGGGTGTGTCAGCCCAGCCGGGAGGCGCGGTCTTCAGCCTGTGATGGGAAGGGAGAGTGCAGCTCCCAGAGCCAGAGGGGACCTGGCTTATATGGACACCAGTCCCCCCCAGCCCTGATTGGCCCATCCTCATGCAAATAGGGACTTTTCAGAGTTTGATTGGTCCAAAAGGCACGGTCCTGATTGGTCGGAATAGAGCCGCTGTGGTAGGTCCGAGCTGCAGCTTCAGTCGGCTGGTTGAAGTGGGATCCCGGGCGGTCCTCTCCCTGCAAGGGCTGAAAGACGCAGGACACAGTGCGGCGGGCAGCTCAGGGCAGGCTTCTCCCTGGAGCGTGCTCTGCGGGAGATGGCCCTGCGCGGGGACGGCCGCTGGGCTTGGTGGTTTAGCTTTGAGCCCAGATAGCCGCCAGCCCTTCTTAGGAGGTGTCTTTTATCTCAGGGTTCACAGATTGTACTGCATGATGAATATTGTGTGTGTGTGTGTGTGTGTGTATAAACTGTGTACTCTACTTTTTCATAGAATATACTCTTTTCATGTCTAAATTACAAATCTGTATCATCCTTTTAGAGCGTCATCGCATTACTTTTTGTGCTGATTTCCGTTCTTACTGCACATTGTTTAATCAATTCCTTATTATTATCTGTATAGATTTTTATCTTTATTATAAACAGCCTCAGGATAAATTTATACATATATCTGGCTTAGTTATATTATCACTTCTGTTGCATAGAAAATTTAATTCCAACCCAGCTGGGCGTGGCTCAGTGGTTGAGCATCAATCTAGGATCCAGGCGATCAGGGTTTGATTCCCAGTCAGGGCACATGCCCGGGTTGTGGTCTCGATTCCCAGTCGGGGGCATGCAGGAGGCAACCGATCAATGACTCTCATCATTGATGTTTCTCTCTCTCCCTCTCCTTTCCTCTCTCTGAAATCAATAAAGATATATTTTAAAAAAGAAATTTAATTCCAAAGTGAATTTGCTGTCTAAAGTGGAGCTTGTGTTTAAGGCCCTTTCACTTGAAATAGCACATTTTTCTTGAATAGCCGTACAAATTTATGTACCCACCATGACTGAAAGGAATTACAGTTTTCTTCCCTTTGGACATCACTGACTACATATTACTTATATTTATTCTTTGTGAATATTCAGTTCTTCTCCCATTTTTTATTGAAGTACCTGTTTATTTTTTCTCATTGGTGTGTTCTTGTGATATTTTAAGATTAGCCTTTGTCCATCTTCATGTGTGTTGCAAATAGTTTTCCAACCTTATTGTTTCTCTTTTACTTTGTTTATAGTGCTTTCTACCATACAGATAGTTTACCTTTATTTTATTTTATTTTATTTTATTTTATTATTATTATTATTTTTTTTTAACATACCTTTATTGATTTCAGAGAAAGGAAAGGAGGGGGAGAGAGAGATAGAAACANTTATTTTATTTTATTTTATTTTATTATTATTATTATTATTATTTTTTAACATATCTTTATTGATTTCAGAGAAAGGAAAGGAGGGGGAGAGAGAGATAGAAACATCAATGATGAGAGAGTCATCGATCAAGCCCGCAACCGGGGCATGTGCCCCAACCGGGAATCAAACCCTGATCTCTTGGATTCTAGGTCGATGCTCAACCGCTGAGCCACGCCCGGCCGGGTTACCTTTATTTTTATATTCACCCTCAGGCCTTTTTTCAGCCTAAGAATATAAATATGTATAACTTTTATTTCCTACTAGTATGTTTTTATTTCCATTTTTATATTGCATTTTCTCTCTTGTGAATTGTATGCTTCTATTTTTTCTCCTAACACTCTATTGGGTATCTTAATGTTTTCTCTTATATATACATAATTATAGTTATAGGTATTTTCCATTTCTAAATTTTAAGATACTGCCTTATTTGCCTTAAAACTTCAAGCAATATTTCATTGGAAGTCCTTCTTCAGCGCCGCCCTTTTTCTTAGAATTTGGTGCGTAACTTTCCTTGCGCTGTAGGACGTTGGTGTGTCACGTGCCTGTTTCATGTGAGGCTTGTGGTTGGCTTAGGTCGCTACCTGACTTTAATCCCAGCTGAGTTATGGGGAAAAGAACCCCAGGGACCCACCTATCACAGTCCCATGTTGCTCTTGTGTTCAGGGGTGAGTCCAGCAGACAGGTACAAACAGAACCCCCTGTGGTGGAGCCCTTCAGGCAGCGGTGACCACAGACTCACCCATGCACTTCGATAATATTTCCCTCCAGCGGTATCCTTTTAGATTCTGAAACATGTTTGATTCTTGCATTTTGTGTCACATTTGAGATTTCCTGAGATACATATTTCATAAACATTTCATTGGGAAGCTGTATGTGGATATTTTGTCACTTTCCTTTAAGCTAAGATCTCCACCCCGTCCCCACCCTCCATCTATTCAATGGGATTATAGAGTATATGGCATATCAAGAACCATCCTATATATTCCAGAAGGTAACGGGAAAATACCAATATTCTCATAACTTAGACCTAAAGAGAGTAAGTGATATGATCAATTCCTACAATAAATGATGAAGAAACCCCAGAATTCATAGCCAGTTTTATTATCTGGTAGGAAAGCTCTGTAATAAAAGAAAAACTGCTATAGATTGTGTTTCTCAAAATGTAGTACAGAGATCACCTGCATCAGAATAACTTGGATTATTAAAAATAGTGGTGAAAAGTCTTTCAATTAAATAATATTTTGATGTTTTAAAGTGAATTTATTAATTTTTTACTTCAAAAATTAGAAACCGGAAACTATAACCAGTTAGAGTGCAGTTTGCTGATGTTCATCCAAGACACGTGGCTGGGGATATGGGAGGCAGTCACCTGCACTGTTAACAGATCTGACGTCTGATGTCCAAAGTATTGTATATTTAGACTTTAAATCTGGGATAATCACAACAACATAAATAAACATCTCATGTTGTATTTCACTTTGCAGATAAAGTTAAACAATGCACCATTTTCCCATAATTTCAAAGTATCATTTAGAAAAAAATGTATTTTTCTTAGATATGGCAACTACTTGAATATAATATGGGATGCTCCACGTAATTGGATGCACCGATATAGGCAGTTAACTATCTGTAGGCAGAATTAATGCTTTCTGATCTATTCCATGTCTTTTTCATCCAGAATAAATCTCGATGATCAATTTTTTTGGAAATGCTGGAGGTTCTGCCAGTCTATAAACCCCACTGTGATGTGTGGTTGAAATCCCATTTTTCATGCGATTATTGATGCTAAAATCGCTTCTGTAAGACTGACTCCTAATTTCAAGCCTCCTGCTTAATTACATTTTATTGATGCTGATAATTAAAAATGAAGCAAAGCATGAGAGTGGATTTCAGTTTAATTTAATTTATATTGGAAGAGAACATGAGCTTGACTAAGTTTTCAAACTTATAAATTGGCCATTTATGTAAGAGAACTGTAACTAAAACAAGCTGCTTCAAAAATTATTTTTAAAATTACATCACAAAATGTTAGTCTTAAAAACCAAATATATATTTTATATTTTAATGGTGGGATTTAATTTAACTTCAATTGTGGTATTGATGCAGATGAATATTTTACCATGAAAAGTTATCTAATTCAGGGGTAATTAATAATATTTCAATATGGATCCAGCATATATAATATATATTTTTAAGTGCGTTTTTATTGATTTTTTTAGAGAGAGAGGAAGGGAGAGGGAGCGAGAGAAACATCTGTGCAGTAAACACTGATCGGCTTGCCTCCTGCCCGTCTCCTACCGGGGATCAGGCCGAAAATCCAGGCATGTGCCCTGACCGGGAATAGAACCGGCAACCTCCTGGGAGCCACACGGGCCAGAGCCAGCATATATAATATTAACCCTAAAGGGCTTTCAGCTTCTGTTTCCAGATCCCTCGCTCGGATGGGTTACTGACCTTGCACGTTTCTCCGCCAGGCGTATGCGGGCAAAGCCCTGGAGGAGCAGCTGCGGGCCGTGTCCAGCGTGGACGAGCTCATGACTGTGCTGTACCCGGAATACTGGAAAATGTACAAGTGCCAGTTACGGAAAGGCGGCTGGCAGCAAAGCCAGGATCAGCCCAACGTCAATTCGAGGACGGAGGACACTATAAAATTTGCCGCTGCGCACTATAACGCAGAGATCTTGAAAAGTAAGCATGGGAGAGAAAAAATATAAAAGGGTCATATAGCAGCCCAGTGAGGGTCGCCAGCCTAGGCCTTTCATTTCAGCATTGGTACCACTGAGTATTTTTAGGGCCGAAAGTAAATGTTATTTTCCAAATGCAGCATTTTATGATTTCACTGTGAATGGTTAGGATGATTTCTTGGAATACATATAGAGGAGAGTGCAGGCCTATCTGTAGACACACTTGAATTTTTTTAAATTAGGTGATATCGCATCGTAAAATTTTAAAACATATAAACATATTTTACACAGTCTGTGAGTTTAATCATGCAAACATTCTGTATCTTACAGACTAATAGCACATAAATTTTCTTTCTGATTCAGAAAGAAAATTTCTTTCATTCCAACTCATCTCTTCAGATACGCTTTTTGTCCTGTGGTTTCACAGGTAACTGGCTGGAGACGGGGACTTTGGTAAAGCCCCTGGCAGATCCAGCAGAAAGCATCACAAAAGATGATAATGTTGCATGAATTGGCACAGTAGAAACTGGTGGGTTACTTAAAAAAAGTAATTTCCTTCAGTTATTAGTATTAATTCCTATAAAGGTTTGAGATTGCAACGTTTTTTGAGAACAAAACCAACGAATCAAAATGGCATCGTGGTTGAGTAACCAAAGAATTTTACGTTAGTGGAAGTATGGAAAAATGAACATTTAAGATGCACATCACCTGCAGGCCAGCATTTAAAGAGTTAACAGTGCTTTAAGTAAAGTACTAAGTCATTGGAAGCAGAATTCCAAGAGAGAGCATGGAAGGAACAGAATTTCACTTTTCTGAAAAACAGAGTTCGGGGTCCATGTTCCACTTGATGGAAAACACCCTTGTATTTCAAGTAGCCACCACCGTGACATTACCCAACATTGCCAACTAGCCTGCCTGAAAATGAATTTTTGAATCGAGTCCAAAACCATACCCATCTTCTCATTTACATCTCAGTTTAAAAGGAGACATGAAATCATGTTTATATTTGCTTCGAAACCAGAAAGTAGTACCTATTATAGCAGATGTGCATGACTCCTTCTTTGCAGATCTTGGGAACAACTATATATGAAATGCTTGTTTTCTTTTAAAAAAAAATGTTTTTATTGATTATAGAGAGGAAGGGAGAGGGAGAGAGAGAGAGCAACATCGATGAGAGAGAAACATCATCGATCAGTTGCCTCCTGCACACCCCTACTGGGGACTGAGCCCACAACCTGGGCATGCGCCCTGACCTGGAATCAAACCGGTGACCTTTGGTTCATGGGCTGATGCTCAGCCACTGAGACACACTGGCTGGGCAATGTTTGTTAAGTAGAGAAAACCAAACATAAGTGCTGCGGAATATTGGTGTCATTTTTGAGAAAGCATAATCCTAGTTTAGCTTGTTACATGACTGTAGAAATTAGTTTTTGTAGAAGAGATCCTTAGCTGCTCTGTTACATATGAACAGTCGTCCAGTTCACAGGGCAGCTTAGGATACCGTCAGTGATTTCTTTAAAGTGATCTATGAAACTTAAATCTTAGAATCTGAAAGCAAATGTAAGTGACTTCCAGCTGCTGCGGGCTGTTCCCCTTGGCGGCTCCTGGTAACCTCTGGCCTTCCCTATGACTCACAGGTATTGATAATGAGTGGAGAAAGACTCAATGCATGCCACGTGAGGTGTGTGTAGATGTGGGGAAGGAGTTTGGAGCAGCCACAAACACCTTCTTTAAACCTCCATGTGTGTCCGTCTACAGATGTGGGGGCTGCTGCAACAGTGAGGGGCTTCAGTGCATGAACTCCAGCACGGGCTACCTCAGCAAGACGGTAGGTGTCTCAGCCCCTCCCAGCACCCCTGCGCTCGCAGCGGCTCCCGTGGCCTCCCTTCCCTGGAAAGCCGCTTAGTTCAATTCAGAGCTGCCTGGCTTTTGAAGGAATGGAGTTAAGTTTTCAATCTTTTGTGGGTTTGATGATATAATTTCACCAAGTAACTGATGCTTTATGAACTCAGACTGTGGTATCAAAGCCAAGTGAAGAAAATAATAACTATGCATATGAATGTGTGTGAATATACACTCACGTATACACATACACACGTGCTCCACGCACACATACACGCACATGCACACATGCATACACGGTAAATGCATACACACATGTGCAACATATGCACATACACATGCATGCATCCATCCACACGCATGTTGATCTTTGAGGATAAAGATTTTCATTTGACAATAAATTACTTTTNGAATAATAACTATGCATACGAATGTGTGTGAACATACACTCACGTATACACATACACACATGTGCACACATGCACACATACATGCGTATGCACACATGCATACACTATACATGCATACACACATGTGCAACACATGCACATATACATGCATGCATCCATCCACACACATGTTGATCTTTGAGGATAAAGATTTTCATTTGACAATAAATTACTTTTAAATGGTTAAGTCTCCTGATTATGGACCTACAGCACACATTACACATTCAGAATATATAATTACAAGTATGTGATCTTGAGCCAGTGGTGCAGTAGTAACAGAAGCCAACACTAGGCATTTTACCGTGTTCATTTAGAAAGAGAAGGAAATATTCTGACACTTAATCTCAAGTATGTTGAACAAACTGTAAAGTCCCATCATATTAGATGCTAAGCTACTGATAAATAATCAGGAAATGTCTCTTAGGGTTGGGTTTGGATGCAGGATTTTCAGAGCAGGGCACAGCCCTGCACTGCAGGTCTTGGGTGTCAGGGGTGGCCATGTCTGCGTGCTGGTGACAATCACGTAGCACTGTTTAAAACTGTGTGTGCCGGTGTCCTAGGCACACGCTCGGGAAAGCCCAGAGCTAAAGGCTGACTGATGCAAACTTCTCGAAAGACAAAACTGGTTGCTGAAAAGGCTCTTCCATTCTGCTTTGAGCGGGAATGGCACAGGTGATCTGCACCCATTCAGAACTGTCCTTTCACCTTCAGAATGAAAAATGAAAGTACTTCAAAAATGCGATGTTAGATTTGATTTGTACATTGTGGACTGACAGCAAATTAACATTTTAAATTAGATAATGTCTACACTTAGAGCACATATAATAAGTTTTATTTTATAAAATCTTTAGCATCTACATAATTCCCACTAGTAAAATCTACTCTCATTTTAATAATTGAATGTAAATGAAAGTTAAAATTACTACTACAGTTGCTTCCCCTGCATTTGCCCATATGCTTGAAAAATCTCTAAAGTTTTTGCTGTAATAACCAGATGGTCTCTAAGGTTGGAGACATCGTCCAACCAAATTGCTTTTTTAAAAAAAAAAAATGTATTTCTCACATAGTTGATGAACAAGCCATTTCAGAGTCTAAGGCTTGCAAGAGGAAACAAAAAATAAATCAGAAACCTGAATTTTCTATTCACTTGTCTCTGCCTCAACGCTAAAAATTAAAAAAAAAAAAAAATAGAAGGTGATGTTTTGGGGTCTTTCATCACTCTTATTATTATCATCGTTACTTGAAGCATAGTCAGAATTAGTTGATTCTTTATTATTTCCTATAAATACAGAAAATAATACAGGTTTTATTCTAGTATGTGTTAACAAGAAAAGCAGTGTGGCTCTAACTACAGTTACACTTTTACAACCTTGATCAGTAGGATAGATAATATAATAACATTTCAATGCCTGGTAAAATTCTAATATTTTAAAGGAATAATATATAATCATGATGTTAGGGCAGCACAACTTCTTTGTTTCCTTTTCCACCTCAAATCTTTATCAAACAATAATTAAGAATTTCTTAGCTAAGAAATTGTAGATTTATATTATATACTATTCTGAATAAAATAATGCTAATTTAACAGGTTTTACTAGATGTGATATGTTTATCTTATCATCACCCTGAAGTAAAACAGTTTTTTTTTTACAAAAAAGTCCTTTAATAAGTGTTGGAACTAAAAACCTTTCCTATCAAATAGAAATATTTATGCCAGTAGGATAGTCCCCCCCCAAAATAATATTTATTTTAAAAAGACATTAATATTAAAATTTTTGCTGCTTTTTATATTCAAGCCAAACTCAATAAAAGCATTTTTGGCCTTCTGAGACTCTTGAGAATAAGTCATTTTTTAAAAAAGAAAATAAATATGAGTGATGTAGGAATTAAAATAAGTTTGTAGAATTCATTTACTAGTGTATATTTTTAGATAATCCAATTAAGCAATATGATATCTGTTCCTAAATTATATTGTTTATTATTATGGTGTTTCATTTTAATCAACTATCACTTTGGTTGGTCTTTCAAAGGTATTGATATGCTAATTGCATTTTCCAAATACCAAAGGGCCATATTTCTTTTGAAAATGGGATGACATGGGATACACTCAAAGATAAATTTTGAAAAATTATTTCATCAAATAAAACAAAATGTGCCTATTAAGAGCTCATTAATCATCATTTTATAAAGGCCTTATTAGACTTAATCGTTAGGTGAAATTTTACTTTCAAAGTGCTCATGTGTAAAAGATCTAGAGTTGAATAATAACCATTGTGGTGTTGGGATTTCTTATTTTGTTCGCTTATTTCTTCAAATTCCTGTTTTTTTAATTGTTCATTTATTTTCGTGGTGAAAATCAGTTGCCAATTGACAATATCCAAAGCTATTTTTTATTACTAATTTCTTCCACAAATTTCATTTTGCCTTGTTAATACAAAGAAAATATTTTTATAATGAATTTCCTTTAAAAAACATCTCAAGTTCTATTGCATACTATTTATTAAATAGGGCTTTCATATTTAAATTGAATACTAATTTTATATTTAAATATTTCAAAATATATCTTCTTCAGGTACTGATGCCCACATGTTTTGTATACTAATTCCTCAGACAAGCTTTTTCCCCCAACACTACCCTCACCCCAAACACCACCAGCACTGGTCTTCGAGTTTTGCCTCTCTCNAACACTACCCTCACCCCAAACACCACCAGCAATGGCCTTCGAGTTTTGCCTCTCTCCTTACGTGACCTCATAGGCTTGTTTCTGACGCCTCCTTTCTCATCACAAGTCCAGTCCATCCCCAAGTCAGATGTTACTTTCACCCCTCAAGTGTCTTGAATCCCCGTGTCCATGACCGTCACCATAGTCCGAGCTACTCCTCTGCTCTTCCTGCTTCCCTTTCCCCCCTTCCTAATCTACTCTCTCAATTGCCCCCCAAGCATGATATTTTTAACAGGCGTGTTTGAAGTTGGTAGTCTCCATGACTTCGCATTGTGCTTGAAATAAGACCCAGATCTCGCTCGCAGCCCGGATGTCTGCCTGAGCCTTCCTTTGCAGCGTCACCTGACGTGACTGTCCTGGACCTTACCCTTTGTGCTCCCAGTGCTCCAGGCATCTTTCCGCTTCTGGGAGCCACCTCCGCCCCAGAGCCTTTCCACACCGTAACATACGCTGGCCTTCCAGTCACCTCCTGGCTAAGGTCCAGTTCTTCAGGTCTCAACTCCAGTATGACACCGCACGAGGAAGTCCTTGCGGGAGGTTTTTCTGACCTCCGTGAGATAAGAGGTCAGAAATAGGCCCAGTATCTCTTTTAAGTGTCTTATAGCTTCCCATACTGTCTTTGACGATGCCCTCACTATAGCTTCTAGTCCTACAGTTTATAATCGTGGAGTCATCATTCGTTGATTAAGGTCTGTCCTCCGAAAAGGCAAAAGCAGGTCTGCTTTGTTCACTCGTCACCTGAGAACCTACCGCAGCATTAGTGCACAGCCCTTTTAGGACCCCGTAAAAACTGTGGACCCTTCAGGGGGAAAATGAAATGTAGACACATCCACAGCATTCCCCACAGTTTCGGGAAGTCCCACCCCTGATGCCTAAGCGTTACCTGTCCAACCAGATTTTCAAATTACTGCCTTCAAGATTAATAATAATAAAATAGCTGATTAACTCACTTGTGTAATTTTTAAATAAACTGATCCTTTTGCCTAACAAAAGTGCATGCTCTAAATTTTAGCCCAACCTTTTAAAAACTAACTGTTTCTTTAACCTATAGGAGAGAAAATCCACCCCCCCTTTTCATTCATAGTTCCTATGAGCGAAAGCCAGCATTCTATTCCTCTGCTTTACAAAGCTCCCCCCCCCCGGCCCCCAGCCTGACAAGCAGGTTGGATGTTGCCGTAATACACACTTACCTTGAATAAATGCTTTCACTCTGATACCAATAAGGCAACTGTGGGGCCTAACTGGACCAGTGCGGGGAATTCATATGCAGACGTCACGGAAAAATGGTTGGCACTGATATTTAATGGAAGACTATATTTATTTGTTTTGTTTACTAACAACGAGCTGTGATCTGTTTTTCAAAGTTAGATTTCGCCTAAGGTACTCCTATTGTCTGTTTGGCACCATTCATCTAGCTGGTCAAGCCAAGCTAGTCTTCCTTTCACTAAAAGTCTAGTCTAATATTCCCGTTAAATCTGCCCTCCAACATCTCTGATGTCACCCGGTGCCTTTGTCCTGCTGATCCCACTCTGGCTGAGGCCACATTCATCCATCCCCTGGACCATTACACCCGGACCAGCCTAATACCTGGTCTCAAATCTCCATTCTCACTCCATTTGCTGCATGTTAGCAGTGGGATTTTCTCTTCTAAATGATGTATCAGATACTGCTCAAAACTTCGGGAATGTTGCATTCTTGGGGCTGAGCCACTTTCAGGGGCCTGTTGATAAGCAGCTCCTTTCTGATTGGATGGCTCGGGCTAGCGTCGGGTCTGATTGGTTGGTGCAAACGTTCTGAGTTAAGTACTTGGAACAG